TGGATAATGACTAGGAATTATTAATCAAAAAGCAGAGTTCCTGTTGGGTACGTTATATTCGATTACTTATAAATGCCCTTGGGAAAAAAGGTATGACTACCTCTTCTCTCCCGAACTATGGGTTAATTAATAAGACTTGTATGTCTAAAACATTATTATCTCCCCCAAAAATTTTTACAATTTAAGAATTTTTTGTGCTTTACATTTGTCTTTTCAGTTCGATTTCTTCCGATTATTCATTGGACGAAGCAACAATAGTCTAACAAAGTGCTAATGAAAAAGGGAAAAATATGGCAATGAAAAAGGGAAAAAGAGAAAAAAAAAAGGAATAAGAACTAAGTAGAAGAAACACCGTTTTAAGTAAAGGCGAAAAGGAAAAAGAAAAAAAAATCACCGAACAGTTAAAGTAAAAGACGTTAAAAAATAAACAAATTGGATTGGTAAACTCGCTGTATACTTTTGGTGGGCTATTAGACGATTTTATAGAGTTCTTTTTTCTCAAAATACACTTCACTTACGATGTAAGCATTTACCAGATTTGGCTAAGTTTAGTAAAGTCGTGTCTCACACTTGAGTAATGTCTGCTTGTTCGTTTTCAGTGCAAATTCATCTCCTAGCGAGTCTAGCTTATCCCTTTTGCAGATGCCTGCTCAATCAAAATTGTATTTCTTTAAAACTCACAGAGTCTACCTACAGCTATGCTCTGCAGACTTTAGTTACTGTTTATGGGAGAGAGACTACATAATAATTAGTAGTTGAACATGTCCACTACGCTCAAGCCCACGATCAAGAAAAATTATGACTGTGCTTTTTCTACAGGCCTATATTATCAAGAAGTCGCCTCTTTGACAAATTGACCATGATGTAATTCAAATGTTAACTACTTAGCCACGCGCCCAATTTCAGCAAATTTTTACTAAAATAGTCTTGAAAATAGTAGTTTGTTCTTCACACCCTTGCCAGCATGCACTTGAGAATGTCAGTGCCAATCCATTTTGGGCGGTAGGGTGGGGTAGCTTCATATTCACCTTCGTCTGATCTTGTCAAACCAAATCAGGCATATTAAATAGTCGACATTTCATAACTATCTGTTTCGAAACAGCCAATCATATAACTATGAACCGAAAACTTCCAGCAACGTTCCAATATATATATATATATATATATATATATATATATATATATATATATATATATATATATATATTAATATTATATAATGTAAATCGACACGAATGATGGGATTGAGACAAATTGCAGTCAGGGACTGAAGAATTGTTCACGTCGTATCTCATTCTTGTTTGCACAACTTTTCTTGTTGTCATATTTGCTTCGAAATTCACAACGCATGTTTCTCTGAAATGCCCCTTTTTATTAAGTAAATATCGAATATATTTATTAAAATCCAATAAATAGTTAATTTTGGTAGATTTTATTACATTTAAAAAGTGCTTTTCGATTAGAACTTTTCTAATGCAAATTACGATTTTACATTGCTTACAGACACTTGCCATCGGAGCTGCAGGCTGAGGTCGTCACCTCAGGGCAATATTACCAGGCGATCACCTCCCACCTCCTTGACAAATCAGCCATGTTGATATTCGAACTAAATTCACAATTTTAACGTTTTAACCACTTAGTCACGCAACAGCTTTGCGAAATGTTAAACAAAATAACAGAGAAAACTAATGTTTCATGTTTCTCCTTCACACTGTTTATAGTATATGTGTGTTTAGTATCTACTTACAGTTTCGCTGTGGCGTAATGGTCAACAGTTTTGTGCTGAACTAAACTCACCTACAAACATATGTCACACCGTAATGTGAAGCAATGTTCAGCAAAAAAAAGTCTTGTCAATGATGACTTTAATTGTCCTCACTTAATTCCTTCGACTTGTGGCCGTGCAGTGCTCTAAGCTAAGAATATATAAGAAGCTTGATGGGAAGTAACTTCGTTTCCTCTATAATTATTAATGTATTGTGTTATCATGGTTATGTGGCAAACTAAGTATTTTTAGGGGTCAAATAGGGCGTAGTTAGTAAAACAGTCTTGTATAATAGTAAGTTACAGCGTCACTGAGTACGCCACATTCTTCTTGCTTCGTAGGAAGTTAAATAATTATGACCGAAAGATTAGATTGTGATGACAAGAAAACCATGAAAAAACCAAGTGGTGGAGGGGGAAAGATGTTTTGGGCGAGGGGGAAAGATGTTTTGGGCGAGGGGGAAAGATGTTTTGAGGGGGGAAAGATGTTTTGGGTGAGGTGAAACAAAAGAAGTGACAAAGGGGGGGATCGATGAAAGGAAAAAAAACGCTAGAAATAAATACGAGGCGCAGGTAATAACATAAACGAATAAAATAAGACAATTCAGCGGTTGGAGAGGCAGAATTTTAGAAACGCCAATAGAGACAGTAATAAACGCAAGTGACGAAGACTTTTAAAAATGGAAATAAAACAATGAAGAAAAGAAAAATACTAAGAAATAAAACGGAGAAAAATCATCATAATGACATGTAAAAAAACATGTAGAAAGCAATGGAAACTGCTAAAAAGAAAAAAAAATACATTGAAAATTAACAGCAACTAAAAAGCAATAACACAATATAAATACAAAATAAGACAAAAGAAAAAGAATAAAACAATTCTCACTGCCTCGAAAAGCAGCAATGAAACAGTACAAAATTAGGGAATTGTTAGTAACCCAATTTTCTAGTGCGATACAGGCAGTGAAACTGCCATCTTTTCCTCCTTCCTGATGGACTTTTAATGGCGTCATTTGGACATAACACTCGCCATATTCGAAGATGCTACATCGTTGAGCCATATTCGGAAAATGTCTAGTTTATGAGCTCGCTAAAACGTCCTTTGAACTTGATTGACAAGCAGTTCTCTCTCAGGAGTGGATATTCTACACAGACCCAAGCGTGAAATTCATTTTTTTTTTCCAAGACGGTTTGGATTTTCTTTTAATGCTAATCTTGTTCTGTTTTTCTTCTTAAAGCTGACTGACTTCGTTAAGACGAAAGCGTCAAGATCTCTGGCGAGATGAGTTTAGCGAAGTGAGGTCCTGTGTAGTGAAGGGAGTAAGTTTGAAAACGGTTGATGAAAAAATAGATGAAGAGATGCGTAAATAAGTACGTAAAAAGGAAAACAAAAATCTGTAAAAATTTTCTAAGTTACACAATTGCATCTCTGCTTACCGTAATTGATTTTCAGTACTTGCAGATATAGTTCAAGGATGCGATGTTCGCACTCCTATTCTGAGGGGCGGGGGGTCGACTTTCTTAAAACGAGTTACTCTTTATTTGAAAAAAATGTTAAGAAACGTAGAACAAGACAAATACTTCTTCTGTTAGGCTTTTAGGTATTTTTAGAGAAGACAAACGCTTTTATGTAGAAATATCAATAAATCCGTCGACTAATAATGTAAAAAATATATTATAAAGAAAATATTTAATTTCCAAACCAATATCTTTCATTCCTTGAGAATGCACTTCACCTAAACTTTTCAGAGTCGGATGTGCGAGTATTGTTCCGGGTAGCCACCTCGAAAGAGGAATCGGTGATCTGAGTTCGTACATTTCTTCTTCTTTTATTTGCCATGACCTTTCATGACATAGGCGATGATGGCTCTCCACCTCAGCCTGTCCCTTGTAGCTCTCAATAAGTTTTGTCTTTTTTGTTATTTCTCCCAGACCCTGGCCTGATATCCACTTACTTAAGCTTGTTAAGTATATCACACCTTGCTTTCCTTTGTTCCACTTTCTCTCTTTTCGCGCTTTGAGTATCAGATTTTCCAAGCCTTTCTTTCTCATTACGTGTCCCAATAATTTTAGCTGCCTTTTCTTGATGTTAAGTATAAATTTCCTCTTTGTTTTCATTTTCTCCAAAACCTCGTCGTTGCTACATGTTTGGTCCATGGTAACCTTAATATCCTTCTGTAGAACCATACCTCTGTTGTCTCGAGTCTCTTCTTCATCTTTGTGGAGACCGTCCAGTATTCGCTGTCGTAAAAGACGATAGATATCAAGTAGCATCTCAGTACTCTTTTCTTTGTTAGCAACGAAACCCTCATGTCTCGTAATACTCTGCCTAGCTTTTGGAATGCGTCTTTGTCTATCCCAATGCGTCTTCGAATCTCAGTGTCGCAATTTCCGTCCTCTGTCAGAACACTTCCCAGATATTTAAATTTCTGCACCTGCTTGTTTATAGTGTCCCCGACCTGTAAATTGCATTTTGAGCTCCTCTTTTTACTGATGACCATGCATTCTGTCTTCTTGTATTTTATGCTTAGTCCCTTTTTCTCGCTCTCCTTCACTACCTTCTGCAGGAGGTTTTGTAATTTCCTTTCCGTGTCTGCTATCAGCAGGGTATCAACTATGCGTCTTATGCTGTTGTGGCCGCCAAAGATGAATCCTGGTGGGATTTCTAGTTCTCTCAGAACTTCCTCATTGCATAGGTTAAATAAGTCCTGTGAGAAGACGCAGCCTTGCCTTACGCACCTTTCTAGTTTTATATATCTGCAGAACTCATTACCTGCTAATAGGGTTTTTCGATAATTCTAATGTCCTTTCCAAATATGTCAAGCCTGCTGAGCAGCTCTAACCATTTTTTGTTGTGTACTTCTTTGCGTAGTCTATAAAAGGACAGGTGGCCGTTCTTCTGCATTTCTTTTGCTCTTTCGATGACATTCTGAACATCGATATCGTGTTCCTTGTTCAGGTGTCTTTAACGAACCCGCACTGTTCTTGTCCTATCTCTTGCATGATTATGCTGCGCACTCTATTCATTAGAATTCGGATGATAAGTTTTGTTATGTGGCTCATTAGGCTGATTGTTCGGTGAAGCTCGCATTGGTTTTCGCCTGGCTTCTTACTCTATGAAAAAAGAACTGCTTAGATATTCCAGTATATCACAACTGGTGTAGAGTTCATTTATTATTTCCGTAATTTTGTCTATGTCAAAATCATCTAAGGCTGTCAGTATCTCTGTTACAATT